TTGACCAGGATGGTCTCGATCTCTTGACCTCGTGATCCACCCGCCTCGGCCTCCCAAAGTGCTGGGATTACAGGCGTGAGCCACCGCGCCCGGCACATCTGATTGTTTTATTGAAAGACTACTGGTAAGGAGAAGCTACACATAGAAAGAACTCCAGAAAACCTCACAGGATTCCCTGAGTCTTTGGTCAAATACAAAACTACACATGTGTGAGGTGTAACTCTATGAGACAAGCAGGAAACTAACTGACATGGACAATCCCGAGAGCTGGGAGATGTTCAAGCCTCAACCAGCCTAAATGGAAGGTGCTCAGTAAAGAGCTGGAGCTCTCAGAAGACCAACAAAGGCCATGTCTTATAAGCTAGTTCTAAAATAAAAATACCCTAGACACATCTTAACAAAGCAGAAAAACAAGGCTAGGCACAGCGGTGCACACCTATCATCCCTGCACTTTGAGAAGCCAAAGTGGGATGATCATTTGGGACCAGGAGTTCGCGACTAGCCTGGGCAACATATTAAAACTCCATCTCTACAATCAATTGATCAACCAATAAAAATTAAAAAACAGACCAGCCTGACCAATATGGTGAAACCCTGTCTTAAAAAAAAATAAAATAAAATAAAAATAAAAATAAAAAACAAGCTTCAAAAAGATCATTCTGATCAGCAAATAAATTAATTGCCTGCAAGAACAAAACTCAACTCTCAACAGAAGAAACCAAAACCCAGAGACTTGACAATACAACATTCATTAATGTCTAGCATCCAATCAAAAATTATCAGACATTTGAAGGGAAAAGAAAATGTGACCGAAAATCAGGAGAAAACTCAATCCACAGCAATAAACCAAGAAATGACAGAGACAATGGAATTGGCAGATAAAGACTTTAAACTATTATAAGTATATTAGAGGATTTAAAGAAAAACCAAGGTAGGAATCGAAGCCATAAAAAACAATCAAAAGGAATCTGCAGGGCTGAAAAATAAACTATCTGAAATTAAAAAGTTACTAGATGAGTTTAACTAAAGATTAAACACTAAAGGAGAAAAGACAGTAAAGTTGAAGACAGGTCAACAGAAGCTATTCCAAAAGAAAGGCAAAGAGAAAACAGATCTAAGTGTGTGTTTCTGTTGGGGGTGAGGGGTGGGCTCAAAAGTCCCCAAATAGTACAGGAAAATCACACCACAGTAAATCTTAACCAAATTGCTCAAACTAATGATAGTAACTTAAAAGCAGCTCATATATAGCAAGAGAATGGGGATATCTCCCATGCAGGGAACAAAGAATGTCTACTCACTTCTCAACAGAAGCAATGCAAGCCAGAAGACAATGGAATGATAACTGTGTAAAGATTACAATGTGTCTTTAAAATGTCTAAAGAAAAACAAAAACAAAAAGGCATCAACCTGCAGTTCTACATCCAGCAAAAATATCCTCAGAAATGGAAGATGAAATAAAGGCATTTTCAGCCAAAAAAATCTGAAAGAATTCACTACCAGCAGATCTGCACGACAAGAAATATTAAAGAAAATCTGCAAGGAAATATCAGATTTCTGCCTTTCACCCTATACTCCCCACTTCCAATCTCTAAATCCTTATTTCACCCCTTCTCATCTAGAGCTTTGTATTCAAGAGCTGCTCCCCTTCACAAAACTTTTCTCTTACTCCATATTTTATAAGCCATTCCAAGTTGTTCACTTTGCTTCATTAACTAAAAACAAAATTCAAAAACTCCCCCAGAGCCCAGGCAATATAGTGAAAAAATCTTTTTAAAATTTAGCCAGGTATAGTGGCAGACATCTCTACAAAAAATTACAAAATTAACTAGATATGGTGGTGCATGCCTGTGGTCCCAGCTACCGAGGAGGCTGAGGCTACAGGATTGCTGGAGCCCAGGAGGTCAATATCATATTGAGCTATGATCATGCCACTGCACTCCAGCCTGGGCAACAGAGTAAGACCTTGTCTCTGTTAAAAAGTGTGCACACACACACACACACACACACACACACACACCAATCTCCCCCAAAACAGGTCAGAAAGAGAGCACAGGAGTGAGGAAAACAGAAGAGAACTCAAGGTGGCAGGGATTCAAGGGGACACAGGTGACTCGTCCTATCAAGCAGGGGAGAGTGAATTTTCCAAAAAACAAAGCAGGCCAGGAGGATCGTGGCTGTCTTGCAGACACTGCTACAACTCCCACACAAGAAGGGATCAGCTCCTCTCACTTAGACTGCAAGGAAGGACTGTATAACTAAGTTTAGAGCACCCACGAAACATAACTCCTGAAAAGTGAGTACCAGTACAGCATGAGGCTTGATTCAGGGAAACCTTATATCATATTCAAGCTCTACTGCTCATTAGCTGCTTGACTATCGGCTCATTTAAAATTCACAACAGCTCTATGAGACAAGTACTATTATTATCACCTACATTTTACAGATGAGAAAAATGATTCACAGAAAGGTTATACTGCTTGCTCAAGGTAATACATTCGGGAAGCGGCATACCTAGGATGTGAATGCAGTCGCCTAAAACAGACTGTCATTTCAGGTGTCCATTACACTGTGAGCACATCCTAGCAGTGCTCCTGCAGAGAAAAACACAATTGAGACGCTGAGGCTAAGCCTCTAAACACAGATAAAGTTAGGTCTCTGTGAGAGGAGTCACGTGCTCTAATTTTGGCTCTTAATTTCAAATGGTTGTATGACTATCCACCTTACCTAATAAGGAGGAGACTGATCTTAAGCCAACTGACCTCCCATCCTATGTAACTCAAAGACTGTAATGCGCAGTTTGCAAATATGAAGAGCTAAATAAATACTGAGATCAAGAATTGGTGTGTTACAAAGTAAGAATGAATTATGGACAAACCTAAATACCAGATGTTAAGCGAGAAAGAAGGAAGCTGCAAAGTAGAAATTCCTACCTGGGAAGAGCTGGTGGTTCCCCAGGGATTTCAGCAGCACCAGCAACTGCTCCTGGAGCTACTGCCTCCTCTGAGCCAGGAGCCATTTCCTTCACAGTGGCCTGTGGGCCTGGAGGCTGCACTTTCTCTACTTCCTGACGCCCACCCAATTCTGTGGTGGAGTCAATCTCTATTTCCTGAACTGGTACTGGGACTGGCTCCTTCTCAGCTGTAGCAGCTGACACAATCTTGGCCTCTTCTTCTTCCTTTCTTCTGATTTTCTCTTCAAGTTCCTGCCTTCTCTTCTCATCATCCTGACGGGCCATGTGGTCAAAGGTTTTAAATACCTAAAATCAAACAGCAATCCAGCAATCAGTTCATCTGCCCAGTAATGTACCATATATCTTATAGAAATGTGGTAAAATCTGGTAAAGAGAGAACTAAAGGCCATAAACTGACAAGTTTTCCCATTGGCAAAATGGAAATGCCCCGCCACTTCACCAAAAGCTGACATGTAAACAGTATTTAACAGGAGGGGTCCAAAATCAACAAAATCAAAAACTTACAAGCCAAGCTAACAATATTTACATACCTAAAAGATGCACAGTTAGATGGTCTTTGCTGTCATTATTATTTATTTTTTTTTTTTTTTTTTGAGACGGAGTTTCGCT